ATTCTATGATTCTATGTATTCCTTCCCTCCAGTGCCATTAATCCACAGAGTCCTCATGAAAATCATATAGGACAGGGCAAAGGTGATCCTCAGAGTTCTGGCTTGGCCACACCAGCACTGGTTCAGCCCACTGCTGGACCCCTTGGTGGATGCCCTGCTACAGTTGTTGCTTCAGCCGGACCTGATGTCACAGAGCCACGGCAGTCTTCTGCACCCCAACCTGGCAGCACTGCACCTGATGGGTTGGCTGCTGCATGGTTAAATATGGAGGAGCAGGAATGCTCGGCCCATGTCCAACAAGTCCTGTTGGGCAGCAGAAAACTCTCCACCAGAGTGACCTACTTGGCCAAATGTAAGCGGTTCATGTGCTGGGTATTGGACCAAGGTATTCAGCCCGAACAGGCCTCGCTGCAGTCAATCCTGGACTACCTCCTGCATCTCAAGCTCCAAAGTCTGTCTCTTTCATCTACCAAGGTCTACTTGGCCATTATTTCCCCTTTCCATCCCTCATTCCAGGGCAGGTCAGTCTTCGCTCATGACATGACAGTACAATTTCTAAAAATTCTGAACCAACTCTACCCTCACGTCCAGGACCCAGTCCCTCCATGGGACTTAAATCTCATGCTGTCTAGGCTCACTGGCTCCCCCTTCGAACCTTTGGCATCCTGTTCCCTCCTTCTCCTCTTGTGGAAGGTCTTAGCAATAACATCTGCCTGTAGGGTCTCTGAGATTAGGGCACTTACCTCAGAGCCGCCCTACACTGTGTTCTACAAGGACAAGGTCCAGAAAGAAGCCTCATTCTCAAAGGTATAACATTTGTACTAATGGAGTACAGGAGGTTCAGGGCATTGTTAAGGAGCTACAGAGCCTTTCACCTGTAGGTCATGATTTTGAGTCCTTCCCCGTTCAGCAAGGATTGTTCCCATCTAATGAATGTTTGTTAGTCCCATACCAATAAGATTGGTGAGTCCCAGTTTGAGTTGCCGTGTCACAAACTCATCTCTATGTTTTGTACTTCATTGTAGGCTCTTTGGGACAGTATTGTCTGTATCTCACCATCTTTTTGTGCAATGCCTAGCACAATGGGGCCTTGGTCTCAATTGAGTCTTCTAGGAAAAGCTCCAGCCAGGGGAACAAAAATCTCCTTACTCACTATAAATTTGTAAAAGTTGGCAGTTCTATAATTGTCACACACATTGCGTGTGGGCAGAAAGAGTTGAAAAATTAGAAGGCAGACCAAAAATTATGATTTACACTTCTTTAAAAAAATCTCTTGATTTTTGGTCTAATTTAACTATTTTTAGGGATCTGACTCATGATTTTTGGAATTGGCAATACTAAGATTATGAAATAATTTCCATCAGTCTTTGCTGTCAATGTGTCTTTGAGTCTGATTTACAAGTAGATCTGTGATGAGTGTGGTTTGTACATTAGGAACATATGTAAATTAGAATAAACCAAAGCTAGGCTACATAAATATGAAAGGATCCTTTATCATCAAAAACAGTTTTTTGGGCTGCAGTTTTAGTGAGCTGTTCCAGGACAAAGCATTTTAATGACAGAGGTAGGCCAGTGAGGTCATTGTGATGTCAGTGTTCCTGCTTGTAATCCTGCACATGCTTGCTAGTTTGGAACATTTCATGTTGGGCTGTGATAGAGCAACAAGAGAATCCCATATGCAAAAGCTGATCATGGCTGTAACAGGAGATGAAACAGGTAGGAATCTCTTGTCAGGGTCTTTAAAATAGCAGGTTCTATACTTTATTTGGAAATCCAGAAAAGGTTACATAGTTAGCAGTCTGTGGAACTTGTTTTTAGAACTTGTTGAAGTACCTCTTTAATTTTACAGTGCAAAGTTGCACAAATTGGTGCCAATTATTTTTATTCCTCATTAGCTAATACAGCATTTTAGTGTAAATTTACCATTTTAATAGCACTCTTTAGTGTATCTTTGTTGTTGCATTGCAGTAGTCTCTTTTCTTTATAAATAATATGTGCAGCTGGTCTGTTGCTTTTTGGTTTAGCAATAAATAAACTATCACGTCAGCTTACTTTAACCTGTCAAAACTAAAGGGGAGCTGTAAGTGAAAGATGTGCACTGTTCCAGTTATATAAATAAGCCTTTACTATTCATTGCTAAAGAAAATAGGGAGCACAAATGCATCTGAAAGAGTTGGAGTGTTGTGAATGTTGTAATGCCTGCTTGTTTTTTCCTCCTCTGTTTAAAATGGTCTGTTCCTCAGCTAATTGAGTTCAAAAGGCTGACGTCATTAGATTTCCTGGAATCGTGTTGCAGTGGGGAACTGGAAAAGTTAAACTCCAAACAAGATACACATTGACGTCAGCTCCGAGTCATGCTGTGATTTAGTCAGTTCCTTTCTGCTTCATCAAACGCTGCAGAGTTGTAATGTTAACTAGGTTGCAGCTTGTGTCTACGTTCTGCTCTTAGCTGAGTAAAGCTATTTCATATACTTTGTTTTATTACTCCAAAAGTGTAAATATCTTCTCTACGTCCACATTTTAGGTTCTTGTGTTCACACAAACAGCTATTCAGGAGCAAACTAGAAAGCTTATGGGGGAAAAGTTAAAAATGCTTCTAATAAGGTAGTTATTGGTATGCTTCACAAAGGGGGAGGGATATATAGCCTGTCACATTCTTTTTCCTGGATAGCCTTTATAAGAACTTGACTCTGCCTACTCTCTAGTGCTCATCAAGAGAATATTTTTTCAACAGCCTGTTTTTAAAGGGATTTTTACTAGTATGTTGGTCTTATTAAATTCTCCAGATAAGGTTGATTTACAAGGTAAGCTAAAATGTTGCTTTGGTGGGATTTTTTAGTAGTTTAGTCATTTTGTAAATTATGTGCCTGAACTCAGATACAGCCCAAGGGCTTTCAGTGAATGCTTTTTACCCAGTTTGTTTAACTAATTTTGCTTAATCTTAAGGAGAAAGTGACTTGCTTGGGGAAATGCAGTGAGAGCATGGGTCAGCCATAGGACTATCCTGGTTCCCACTCTTTGGCTGTTACCAATACGTACCACCGACCTTAGTGTTTGATTTGACTTTGGTCTGTCTTGTGAAAAGAATTTACAATTTACATTAAGTTTCTTTATAAAGTCATAATGAATATTACTGTATTTCTTTAAAATAAGTGAATTGAGCAAATACTTTTATTGTGAATCAGATTTTTCTGGGACTTTGTTCAGGAAGAAAAAGATCACTGTGGCTGTAATTCTTCCCTCTCTAATAAAATCCTGCAGTCTGATTCGTATGGTAGACTAAACCCTTACACTTGCATAGAGTACCATTAAAGACAATGGGGTTTCACATGTTTGCAGGGGTCCATTTGCATTTCAGATTATATTATTTCTTTTGTCTTTTAGGTTGTTGAAATAGTCTCACTGACTCCTATTCAATATGATGCTTTGACTTTCTCTGTGATGGTGATATCATACCTGCCATGGAAGTCACCAATAGAATATATGGTGGAGCATCATATAGAGCAGGAGCTGGTGAATCTCTACCTCAGGGGGACCAGAAAGACAAAAACAGATTAGTTTAAAGTAAATGATAAACTGAATGACTTTCTTTATTTTGAGGCTTTCCACTTCCACTCTTCCAATGTTTCATGGATCATTATTATTTTATTAGTTATTGCAGGTATCTGTAAGGCATCCATCACTATGGAATCTGGGCACATTTCACATAGGTTAGAATGGTACCAAACATCAGCATTTCTAAAACATCTCAATCTTCCCATCAAAACTTTTCAATACTCCATCCCCACCTAAATCTTAAACTTTGCCTTGTGTCCCCTCTTAACCATTTCATTCTGACAGTGATTCCAGTCTCAATACACAATTTCCTTTCTCCCTTCATGGCTCTGTGCATTTTTCTATATCACCTTAGGAGTAGTAGGTAATGCTGCGCATACCAGCTTTCCAAGTGTAATCCTGTCTTCGCTCAAGTTCCTCTTAAAAACCCACTTTTTTGTGAGTCTCACAAGAAGCATGTTTTTCATTTATAATTAAACACAACCACCACCGCCACCCCAAACCAAATAAAGCCACCCCCTCCTCTGGATTTCCCAGTGTGTCCCATTCTCTGGGTCTGCCTTTTAGACTGTGATATCTTTGGGGACAGGAACTATATTTATTATTGTGCATTGTATAGCACCAAAGGCTCTTGATGCTAAACAAATAATAATAATAATTAATAAAGAATAGAAAAATAGCTGGATATACTTTACATGTACGTCTCTTTATGTCACTTTTTGCAGCTTGTCTTTAAGAAAAATGGCAATTTCCTTTCTGGTCAATTCTAATTTTTTGAGACATTATATAAAATGGTTTGCAGATAGAAATAATCACAGCTCAAATGTAATTTAATTCAGTGTGTTGTAAAGTGCTTTGAAGCGATTTACTCTACTGCACAATCACATTATTTTGATATACTGTGATGTGAACTAAAAAATGTTGAGGCTTTGTCTGAGTTTTGGTGTAATGATCCGATTGCTAGCTTTGCTGGATCAAAACAATTGTTTTCCTCTAACATCATGCTTTTAGAACTCACTGGCATCTATTTGTTAGGTAGGGAAAGACATTATGCTGACCTGGTCAAGGCATTATTATCATTATTTATTTGAATTACAGTAGCATCCTCTAGAGGCCCCAACTGAGATAAGGGCTCAGTTGTGCTAGACACACACACATAGGGGCAGCGTGTTCACTAGAGAAAAAAGGTGTTTTTATCTTGCATTAGCTGACATGAGTTAAAATCCTTGTGAAATAAAAGGCAGTTTGTAGTTTACACAGGTGTTAAACAGGTGATCTTAAAGACTATGGGGAAGTCTAGGGTTACCTGCAAATTCAAGTAAAAATTACAAATGTTCTCATCTTCACTACGATTTTGATTCATGCTAGTTAACTCAAGCTAAGATGGCACCTTTTCCCTAATGAAGATGCATCCAGTGAAAGTCAATCCCTGCCCTAAAGACTAAGTAATGACAATCTAAATAGACATGAGAAATATAGTGTCAGACCACAGAAGTATTATTATTCCATTTTAGAAATGGTGAACTGAAACGAAATCAATGTGCTTAAGTAGCTTGCCAAATCAGGAGCTAAGTGACTTGCCGTTGATCACACAGGGAGACCAATATTGAGCCCAAATCTCTTGAATGCCAATCTGTCCAGTGCCTTACTTACAAGGCCATCCTCTCTTGCTTGAATGTGACCTATGTCCAGTGAATTTTTGGTGTGGTCTTCCTAGAGTCTATTATTTTAAATCTATTTTTCTCCCATTTCACAATTTCTGAGTACTGCTTTAGAAGATCCACTGGTGTGAAAAGATGTGGAAGAAGGCTATAAGAAGGGTAATTATTTATTCATTTAGTTTTTTCTATATTTTCCTCCATATAACTGACTTATCTTATCTTCCCAACCTGTCTCTCTCTCTCCCCCTCTCCCCTCAAAAAAAGTGGAGTGTTGGGCGAGTTTTACCTTTTTGTTTTTAACCCATTTCTGAATTTCACTGACTGTTCCATTATTTGTGTACTGGAATTACTCTTTTTAAAGAAGTGCAGTACAAAATTTAATGAGATTATGTGATAGCACCTGAAATTTGATCTTCTGTATTCATCTGCTGGATTAGGGAAAGTTATGCGCTTTGGTCTGCAATGATATAGAAAACATATCAAAATTTACAAGCAAGAACTTGCTCTTATTTTTAAGTATGAGACACTCAACATTTAAATGTATATTAATTTTAAATGTCAGACATGCCACATACATTAAGACTAACCCAGCTTTAACGACATTTTAAAGGTTGCCTTTGTCATAAAAGTAGCAAGAGAACAATTTAGAAATGAATGAAAAATTAGAGAAACTAATAAAACAAAGTGAGAATATCAGAAAGGGACTGATTCCAAGTTAAAAACATAAAACTACTTTTAAAATGTGTTGTGTAAGTAATGTGTTACAAAATAGACAGAAGTCTTAGTTGTATTTGTTAGCTTTTGTGTCATCACAACACAAGCCTATGAAATGTTTGATGTAATAGAGATCCTGATTAACATATCAACAGACGTCTGCTATTTCAGTTAGATTTTGACAGGTAAGTTTATATAAAGTAAAAATTGTTCTTCTTTAATACAGCTGCCACTGGAGACATGCCAACTTACCAGATCCGAACTCCCACCACAGCCTTGCCTCAAGGAGTGGTAATGGCAGCCTCACCGGGAACTTTGCACAGCCCTCAGCAGCTAGCAGAAGAGGCAACACGCAAAAGGGAACTGAGACTTATGAAAAATAGGTAAGAGTGTGTAACAATAATATAATTATTAGTCACTGCTGCAAAGGGCAAATGTCAGCTACAATTAATCTTCTTCAAAGGAAAGTATTATAATAAATTCTTACTCTGAAGGTCATGTGGCCCTTGATGTGATGGAGGGAGAGCAGAACATTCTTAGCTGTTAAACCACATCACCAGCAAGTGTGTACGTACATAGCACTGATGCATAATGGCCAATAATTGCCTAAACCATAAGTAGCTTTTCTTCAGCTGAGTCATGAGAAACACTCTTTCCTGCAAAACTGTGTTACTAAATCTAAGCTTTCATTGAAAAAAAATATTTGTAGCCTTCATGACTGTGAAAATCAGTTTCAAGGTTAACAGATCAGAAATCAATGCAGTGTTGTCTTCCCGAGTCTACAGAGAGCCTGAAACAAAAATTCTCAGATCAAAGGCATGAGCTGTCTGACTCATCCCCATGGACTTTTAACACTGAAATATAATTATGACAATTTAAATATCAACATTAACTTTTTTATTGCCAGTCATATTTTGTAGAGGTATCCAGCTAGTGTACTTATCACTGTGGCAGAGCTCTGACCTTGTCTCTGTGGGTCCCGCGCTTCCACGCGGTTTATGCTAGCCTCAGAGGCGCACTGCGACCCTCCATGTAGCCCTTCTCTCTCTAAGGCCAGGATTACAGTCTACTGAGCCCTTTTCATCATAAGCCAGGAAGGAGGTTGGTGAGATAACTCCCACCGTCTCTGTTGTCCCTACGCGCTTATTCAAGAAGAGGGGCCTGTCTTCCCCTCCCAGGAGGTGTTTCTGTAGTGGCGGCTTGGGGGGAACCCAGGTTCCTCCAGGTTCTGGCCCAGGGACCCTAGTGGCAGCAGCTGTTGGCAGCCGACCTTTCACCGCCAGAGCTGCTACACTTCCCTGGGCCACTTCTCCACAGCTCTCCCGCTTCTCTCTCTTAACACCTTTTTTACCTTTACCTTAGGGCTCTCTTCCAGTAGCTTGAGGGTGTCTTTATTACCCAGCCTTTCAGCCATACTTCCTTTCCTCTGGGTCCCTTTTCCTTCCCCCAGCCTGATCGCTCACTCGCTTTTTTTACAGTATCAGAGGGGCCGTAATTAGAGTCAGGTGTTCACATTAGCTTAACAGCCTCACTTGACTCTTTGCAGGCTAACTGGAGTCATGTGTCCTCCCTAGCCTGGAGCAGCCCCCGCTCTGGTCAGGCAGGGAACAGAAAACTGCTTCTCCAGTGGCCAGTATATCTGTCTTCTACTACTCTGCTGTACCCAACTGGCCTGGGTCTATCACATCACATAGTTACGTTACCTACACTTCTCCAGGAGCCAAAAAGCCCCAGTGATCGTCCACCCTTTGTTGCTGTTAAATATATCTACATATAAGATTTCAACATTACATTTACAGTTCTATTCTTTAGTATACATGTATAAACACATTTCCCTCTGATCTTCGTTTAGAGATGATTTCGCCGTTTTTTCTTTGAGTGCTTGTTCACGTCCATTCCAATCAGGGGTGCACATGTGCACAGTTGCCAGAAATTTTTCCTCCAGCAGCTCCTGTTGGGTCAGCTTTGGAGCCCCCTGGAGTGGCACCTTCATGGCACTCAATATATGAACCTGCTGACCTGGCCCCTTCTCAGTTCCTTCTTACCTCCTGTGATGGTTGTCGGAACTGCGAGGCTTCTCCTAGCTTTCTAGTGTAGTTTATCTTAGTAGTTTATAGTTGCTCTAGTTTTATTAGTTACTAGTAGTTCTGTTAGGAATGGGGAGTTTCCCCTCCACCCCGACCTTTCCCCTTGGGGACCTCAGGGCATGCCTTGATCCCCGGGGTTCAAGCCCTGCAAGTCCTGCAATAAGCCCATGCCAACGGGCGACCCCCACGATGCTTGTTTAAAGTGTCTGGTTGAGGCTCACCAAGCTGATAAGTGCAGGATTTGCAAGGGTTTTTGACCCAGGACCAAAAAGGAGTGGGATTTCAGGTTGAAACAGCTCCTCATGGAGGCGGCTCTTAAACCGCAGCCTTTCCTCGGCACGGCAGGACCCGACTGTGACGAACTGGGACTGTTCTTAATGTGGTCTTTGAATGCTGAGTGGGGAGTGCTGGCTGGGAAGACAGGGGAGTGTGGCTAGGATGGTCTGCATGGGGGGATGGGAGACTGGCCGTGAGGGAGAATACCTGAGCATGTAACGTGAGAACCCAGGAAGGGGTTAGAGGCCAGGTGACACCTTTGCCCGGGAAACTGGACAAAGGCCGTGGGAGGGGACGCTGGGGAGAGAGGTTCAGAGCTGGCTGGTGGAATGGCTGGGAGGCAGATGGGGCTCTGACCTCCCAAGGGGGCTGTGGTGCCCTGGGACCTCAAGATGGACCTAACTGGGGGGATCCTGTTGTCTGTGCCTGCAAGACCTGTCTTGGACTGTGTTCCTGTCGTCTAAATAAACCTTCTGCTTTACTGGCTAGCTGAGAGTCATGGTGAATAGCAGGAAGCTGGGGGTGCAGGGCCTTGTGTCCACCCCACACTCTGTGACACCGAAACCAAACTCCTCAGTGCGGAGTGTTCTGGCATCGGTACCAGAAACGGCACCGCAGAAGATCTCCGAGCACAGAGACTTGTGGCACCGTGCCGATCCCCCATGCCTAAGACTGTGGGAACCGCCTGGCACCGGTCCCATTCTCCAGTACCTCAGAAGAAGCACATCAAGCAGGGTAGAGATGGATCTCCTGTGAGACTCTCCCCTGTGGTCTTGGCCAATGGGGTGTGTCCCAGAAAGGAACACCCGGCCCCAAGATCCTTGGAGTCAGCTCCAGGAACTTCAGACATGCAAGGAGTACCGTTGAGCCTGGGACCATTGGACTCCCCAATCCACATGGTGGAGGAGGTGGGCCTGCCATCCACTCCAGACATCTTCGAGGCCGCGCGGGACTTCATTGCCATGACAGCACCGCGGTTTCCAACTCTCCGCAACAAGCCCCCAGCACTGCTGAGGGCACTACCATCTAATGGCAAGCCAACAATGGTGTGCCTGCCCGTGTCACCAGGTCAACGATCCCCAGCACTGGAAAGGGGGCGCCACTCAGAGTCCCAGCCCTGGTCCCTGGATCGTCAGAGGTCCCACTCCCAGCAGCGATCATCACTGCGTCACCGATCCCCTCGATACAGATCGAAGTCTCGGCACCGCTCCCCTTCCACATGGCACCATTCACCTGGCCAGCTCCGATTGGCACCGCCATGGCCCTCTAGATCCCGGTCCCCGTCCTCAGAATCTGACACGGGGTCTAGCTACTCACACTGGAGCCGGCACCGCGTGACACATCGGCGGCCTGATGTGGGTACAATGCCATGGCCCCCCCAATTGCAAGGACCGGCACAATGGCCTTTTTGGACCACCTGGGCATATCACCAGTCCCAGGGTACCTTGTCCAAGGGCTCCCAGTTGATGGCATCCGAGCGCAAGCTGCCAACAGCCTTGCCCAGCCACCCCACACCCAGGGTGCTGAAGAGATTCTGGTTACAGCACCTTCACCGACACAGACCCCTGCCCCTATGGTGGAACGGGATCATCGACCCAGAACAGCAGGTCGATCAGCAGGTCTCCATGGACCAACAGGCCTGGGATGACCTGGTTCTCCCGCCTGCATCCTCATCCTCTTTCCCGGATGAGAAGGTAGCAGGAACTTCGGTCTCAGGACCACCACTCATAGATAGTCGCACCCATCAGGACTTACTCCGCAGGGTGGTGCGCAACATGGGCTTGCAAGCCGAGGAGGTGGTGGAACAGGAGGACCCAATGGTGGACATTTGGCCGCAGAAGGTCCATCCTGAGTAGCGCTTCCACTCATTAGGACCATTCAAAACAATACCAAAACTGTGTGGCAGATGCCGGCCTCCATCCCCCCAATGGCCAAGGGAGTAGAATGCAAATACTTCATTCCCTTACAGGGTTACGAGTATCTGTACTCCCACCCACAGCCCTGCTCCTGGGTGATGTCTGTGGTTAATGAACGTGAAAGGCAGGGGCAACAGGGACCCCGCCTAAGTCCAAGGACTGTAAAAATACTTGACCTTTTTGTTAGAAAGGTCTACTCCATGGGTGGCCTACAGCTCAGGATTGCTAATCCACTGTCGGTCCTGAGCAGATATAATTTTAACTCATGGAACTCCATGCTCAAATTTAAGCAGCTAATACCATTGGAGTCCAGAGGCGAGTTTGGGGCCATTGTGGAGGAGGGCAAGACAGTGGCACAGATCTCTTTACAGGCCTCACAGGACGCTACTGACTTGGTGGCGCGTACCTTGTCCTCTGGCATAGACATGAGGAGGACCTCATGGCTTCAAGTTTCAGGCCTACCCCCTGAGGTCCAACAGACTCTGCAGGACCTGCCTTTTGATGGGACAGGATTATTCACAAAGCAAACAGACTCCAGACCTAAAGGATTCGAGGGCGATGATGAAGTCATTAGGGATGCATACCCCCGCTATTCAGCGAAAACACTTTAAACCTCAACCCCTCAACATCCTTACCAACCTCGCCCTAGGCAAGACTTTTCTAGAAGGCAAAGTAGGAATAGCAGGCATAAGCCGTCCCAGCCCTCATCATCACAGGGCCAAGTATGCACCTTCTCGGCCTCCAAGCAGGCCTTTTGAAAGTGTGCCTGGGGAAGACGTGTCAGACCGTATATTGGATCCTCAACCCTGCTTTTGGAATCGTCTACCCACTTCTACTGTGCATGGTCCCAAATAACATTGGACCACTGGATTCTCCGCACAGTAGAAGTAGAATATTCTCTCCAATTCTTCTCCTCTTCTCCCTCCCACCCCGCTTCCCCGTCCTTCAGGGACCCTTCTCACAAGCAGCTCCTTATCCAGGAGGTGCAATTGCTCCTTGCCATAGGAGCAGTGGAGGAGGTTCCTCAGGAGCTAAGGGGCAAGGGGCTCTACTCGCACTATTTCCTAATCCCCAATGCAAAGGGGGGTCTCAGACCAATCTAGA